CAGTAGCGGTGATAGTATACATCCTTGTCTCACACCAGCGACTACCCGGATAGGGTCGGACAAGGCTCCGTTATGCAGAACTCTGCACGTGAAAGCCTCATACTGCGCTTCGATGAGGTTGACGATTTTATCCGGGACTCCCTTGCGTCTCAGGGTGCCCCACAGATTCTCGTGATTGAGACGGTCGAAAGCTTTTTCGTAGTCAATGAATACCAAATAAAGGGACTCTTGGAATTCATTGACCTGCTCCAGGATGATGCGGAGCGTGACAATATGGTTCACACAAGATCTTCCGGCACGGAATCCTGCCTGCTGCCGTCGGAGAGTCGCGTCGATCTTCTCCTGTATCCGATTCAGGATAACTTTGCACAGAACTTTGAGAACAATACACAGTAACATGATGCCTCGCCAATTGTCGCACACAGTCAGATCCCCCTTCTTTGGGACCTTCACTAAGATGCCCTGCATCCAGTCGGCCGGAAAAGTCGCGGTGTCCCAGATATTACAGAATAGTTGATGCAACATTTGTGCGGATAGCATGGGGTCAGCTTTGAGCATCTCTGCTGATATGCGATCGACCCCTGGAGCCTTGTTGGATTTCATGCTTCGGATAGCTGCTTCAATCTCCTGCAATGATGGGGCCTCGGAATTGACGCGAGTGATGCGCCGCACCCTAGGCGGATCATGCCGAGATGTTGATGGCTGGTTGGCCGTCGAAACTTGAAGAAGTTGTTCGAAGTGCTCAAACCAGCGTTTCAGCTGGTCAGTGGGGTCGGTAAGCAATTGTCCAGTCGTGTCCTTCACTGACATCCTCGGGTTCATCCTTGCTCCACTCAGGCGTCGTGAGATATCGTAGAGGAGGCGTATATCGCCAGTGTTTGCGGCTTTCTCACTTTCGTCGGCCAGGGAGTTCACCCACGCTCGCTTGTCCCGTCTGCAAGAGCGCTTGACTTCCTTCTCTAGAGCCGAGTACCGTTGACGCGCTTCGTTCTTGGCTCCTTTGGTTCTCGCCCGCTCTATCGCGGCTTTTGCTTTTCTACGCTCCTCAATCTTCCGCCAGGTTTCATCTGTGATCCACTTTTTCCTTCGGTTCCGCAGCTCACCCAAGTTGTTCTCGCTTGTTTCTATAAAGGTATTCTTGATGGCCGTCCATTGTTCTTCTACGCTGCCACCTTCTGGAACGTCCGCAGCTCTAGTCTCAAGTTCATGAACAAAAGACCTTTTTACCGCTGGATCTTCACGTCGGCGTGTGTTGAACCGCCGCCCGAGTCTCTCCTCCCGTCGCTGAATCCGCGCCATGCGTAGGCGGATTTCACCGATTAGAAGGCGATGGTCAGACGCGATGTCGGCGCTGCGTTTATTCCGGACATCAGCACAGATCCCTTGGTGATAATTTTGGCCACTTTTGTCCAGTCTTTTTCAAATTCTTCGATTGAATTCACTGCCTTATTGTGTTTCCGTAGATATCCCTTGGAAAGGGCCTAAAACGTTTTGATTGAGCAGGTCTCCGGACAATTCGGAGAATTTATCTCTTTTGACACGTATTGCACTTTTTTTTGGTTTGTACCAAGCTACCGTGTCTTTCGAGTAATGCAAAAATCGGACCAAAATAGTACTGGGCGATCATGTTGATGGATCATGGACCGCAGACGCCGATTCAAACACTCCTGAACGTAAATTTCAGTGCTCATCGTCTCCTTCGTTACAAATGGCTATGACAACTTGCCACACTCACAAATCGCTTACCAAATCATTTTCGGTGAAAATTGACTTATCGGTATCGTCAACTTCCTGACCATCACGGACAGTGTACTATTGGTCTCCCGGAAGCGACTTGTAATAACATTTGACGTATGTTTCAACGTCCATGATAACACACGCCAATTTCCACACAGCAGGCTATCATATAGCTTCAGAGCACTCGATTTGACGGATGCGGCTTGTATCTGACTCCGTTTCGGCTTCTTCTGCTTCTTGAACGTTTTCAACCCGTTGCTTGCCTTGGCGCGTTGGACGTTACTCTTCGATGTTCTCAGTTTTTGGCCAAATCTCGAACAGAGGCACTTTTCTTATTGACAGCTTGGGTGATCTTCCGGTACAGTTTTCGGTCCACCGGTCCCGGTTTACGACCAAACATCGATGTGTCCTTCAAGGTAACTTCTTCACCGAACTTCCGGATGGCGATTTGGGCTGCTCCGATACCTACTTCCTCTACTTTCACCAGCTTCCTTACTGAATAGTTGTGAATAGCGCACGATCTGTTTGCACTTTTCCGGGGAATTCGTAAACAACGACATCGATGAACAGCTGATAAACATCATCGGGGTGGAAATGGCGGGGTAGTTGAAAGTGTGCTTATACTTTCTGCACACATAGGTTTTTCTACCGAGCTCGGCTGTGCAAATCTCGGCAAAAATAAATTTCACTGAGATATCAGCAAAAGTGACATTTGATTGCTGAGTCTTGGATAATGCCGTGGGGTGCGACAAAATCTCAATTTAAGATCGTCAAAAAATCTCACGATAGCGAATCAAGCTACGAAAAATCTTCACCAAGGAAATCTTCATCAATCTTCCTTCTATCTAATAAGCGTGCGCGCATCAGCAAAGCATTTTTTCCCCTGCATCTTAGATAGAGTCGCTCCCTTCGGATAATGCTTAGCTGAATCTCAGCAAACAAATTAAATGTTTGCTGAGATCTCAGTAAAACCAACCGGTGGAAACTAACGATTTTAAATTGGCTCACTACTTGACTAGGCTATTGGTCCCAAGCAAATCGATTAACGTACCCCAGTCTAGTCGAAATTCTAGTACTACACTATGTTTGTTTTGATTCGCTATGAAAGTTTGACAGATGAAATGAGGGGTTCGTGGATTTCCAAATGATTCGAGGAGTGCATCGATAAGCTTGGGACAGAAGAGAGTACCAGAGCTGAGCCAAAAAGTTGAACACGTTTCTTCGGTTCAAATTCCCTTTAAGTTGTTATCACATTTCACTTGGAATCATTTTCAGGATTTCCTTGGGATTCTTGTTAATAATTATTATAAGAATTACCTTTTAACTCTGCTCAATATTCCGCTGACATCATCCTCAAAATTCCGTTGTAATTATCCTTATAATTCTTCAGGAATTATCCTCAGAAGTTCTGAGTCAGAACTATCAAGGAATTATGCTAATAACTACTTACTACTATTAACTAGGAATTCTCCTTAGCATTCCCTAAGAAATTTCCCCTTGGAACGCTGTTATAGCAACTACTACAGTAACTCTCCTTATCGGCAATTTTAAGTCGTCAGTTGGCGTGAAAATCGTGAAAGGTTAAATCAGAAAAAAACACAAAAATTCACAAACTTGAAGCCACGAACAAGGTTCAACACTTCGCAGTGTCAAGTGTCCATCACACCACCCGAAAAACAAAACAAATTGTTTTTTACTACCTTGTTTGCAATGCGCTTCGATTCAATTGTTCGCCAAACACCCACGCCGCTGCTGTGTGCAAGTTGACGGTTTGTTGCAGTGCTGTTGTATTGCTGCTTAGTTATTGTCCCAGCTGCACCAACACCACCACCACCACCATCACCGAAGCCGTCAGAAGCCGCCATGCAATGTAATCGAACATGACTTTCGCAGAGCTGTCAGCGCGCCATGTTTTAAGCGATATTCGACACTTGAATCTGGGAATTGTTCACCAAAGTTAGTGTGTTACAGAATTGATTCACGGGGATTTCCAACTCAAATGTAGCGATGTAAATGATGCGCTGTAGACGTAGGTAGGTAGGTGTAGGATCTGTTTCTCACGCTAGTTTGATGGCGGAAAATGGATTTTGAGCACGAGGCTAAAACATTCAGATCGTGCCACGGCGTTGGGGTGTTTTGAGGTAATACATACATTTGGTTTACATTGTCGCTAGCACTACAGTAAGCTTTCTTTTACTACTATTTACCTATCTTCTTTGAATATTCCAATAAACCTGTTTAATGCCCTGGCAAATTGTATAGTTTCTGCAGTCATCAAAATAAAATCATAAACATGACTTTGAGAAATGCTTCGTGTGTCCTAGGATAACGTTGTTCAGGATCAAAATTCAAGAATCCACAAAAAAAGACAGTCTAAAGGAGACGCACGGTAGGGCAACTGAAGGCTTCATTCAACAGCTCAACCTGTCTCGCTTCATAACAGAGCCAATGAAAGTTCGTTTTACGGCGATCGTTAGCAACTTCCGAAATTACTCTTCTGATTTTTCACCCACACTGAACTGAACAGCTGCGGGGGCAGGTGAGTGCCACACAAAGCGTCAATGATGCCCCAGTTTTATTGTCTCGAAAGTTTGTTTTTGGCCTCCGCCCCTTCAACTTCCACTATCGAGGAAGGATTTTTTTCGTTCAAATAATTAGGGACCGTCCATAAACCACGTAGACATTTACGGTGCAAAGGTTTCGCAAGTGTCGACGGTTCATAGAACATTTGGAAAACAAGTTATCTAAATACGTAGCTTACGGACAATCCCTTACCTGTATACACGTGTAACACAAAGTAACCGCTGACAACGGGCCTGACTTGACTAGCGTGCGTGACTGCCCAAGTTTTCACAATCCACTGCCTACTGGGATCGGTGTTTTGTTGTGGTATGTGTGCCGAAATGTGGGTTTTTCCCACACCGAACTACCCTGCTCGAACTCGCTCAGGTTGACCCCTTTTTTCGACCAACAATTGAAAAGGGTCTTTCAGTTTTTGTACACACAAATTGAAACGCCCTTTTTGCGCGAACCGAACTTCGCCTACACAAATCAACAACGCTATCAGGCTGGAGCGAATTTTACCCACCCATTGGTGTTGTTCGTTTGCATAGGTAAGCTTCGGTTTGCGTGAAAAGGCCATTACAAGTTTGTTTACAATAGCTGATTAGGCCCTTTTCGATTGTTGGTCGATAGTTAGATACCCTGCTTGCAGTCCTAGATCGATTCCAAGGGACAACAAATAAGCAAAGTGAAAAACTTACCGAATTTTCCGCTTCCGCCTTTTGATTGCCTTGCTGCTCTTGCGGTTGTTCCTGTTGTTGTTGTTGTTGTTGCTGTTGTGGTGGTGGTTGTGGTGATTGTGAAGAAGGATGATGGGGCTGATTTCGAAGGCTTGGGGAACATTCCGTGTCGCTGTGTCCAGTGTCGGATGAATCCTGCTGAACGGTTTGGCCGAGGAAGATCTTGATGTTGATGCGGGAGTCCTTGCCCTGCTTTAGGGCTTTCTTGATGTGTTCGCTTGATTCGATGCTTGGGTGGAAAGGGATTGAAAAGTGGGATTATCTTTGTTTATTTGGGATGACCTTTTTATGTGATTCAAGAAAAGATAGTGATGCGAAACTTTTGCTATGATCGAATTTTCGAACATCATAGTCAAATATACAATTATTTGCTTCACCGACAACCATTTTAAAGCGTCTAGTATCAAAGTTGAGGAAGTTAATCTATTGCATCTCAAAATCAAGCGGCATTATTTTATTCTGCATGCGCCATTATCTCGATATTTGCGTTCCATTGCCTAGAAATAAAATGGAAGGGCAAAAGTCTAGATGAATCGACATAGAATTCCATACTTCTTGGCTATTTTCTTGATGACATTGTCAATTTTAGAGTTGAACTTAAGTTTGTCGTCTATAATCACGCCAAGATATTTAATCTCCCACGCGATCAATAGTCTCATCATCAATTACAACAGAGACATTATAATTTACTTGATTCCGCGAAATTACCATGAATTTAGTTTTACTTATATTCCTTCTCAATAGCAATTCAACCATTTACTTAGAGAATGCAAATCTTCATTCATGTGCAAAACGGCTTCATCTAAATCCTTAGCTGCAATGAATAACACAGTATCATCTGCAAAAAGATTAATGTCGCAAAATCGTAAAACACATCGCAAGTCATTAATATACATAATAAATAAAAGGGGCCCTAATACACTGCCCTGGGGCACTCCAAGGTTATTCCCCACGGGACTTGAAACAGTATCATTAAAAGAAGTCCGTTGAGTCCTGTCACACAAATAACTGTCAATCCATTTATATGCAGTATTCGTAATTGCAAAGCTCTAGATTGATCGTAACAATAAGGGCCTAGAAACTGTTTCAAACGCGTTTTTTAAATCCAAAAAACAGCAACAACTGTGTCTTTACGATCCAAGTTATCTTTCCACTTCACTAATACCAAATTCAACGTGGGTTCACAAGAATGACTTTCTCGATATCTCGATTGTTCTGATATCAACAAACTATTACTATTTAAATACTCCAACAGCTGGCTTTCTGCAACAAGTTCTAACATTTTCTCTAATGTGTGCAACATGTTGATTTGACGAAACTCTTCGGCTTTATTCGTTCCAGCAACTTTGAATAGGAACCACTTAATTTGTGGCACGAGTTGTGAATATTTATTTCGCGCGATTCTGTACCTCTTCCAATGATTGTCACTATTTGATCTACAAAATGTTTTGTACCATTTGTCCCTATTACGTTTAAGACACAAAAGATCCAAATTGTACCAGCTGTTCGAGTTTTTCAACGCAAAGACCTTTTGCTCGACTAATCGATTTTTACACGTTTTCAAAGCATTAGTTAGAACAGTTGCAGATTTATCTAAATTCGGTGGTGGGGTCTCCCAAGCATCGTCTTCAGGGAAGTATGCATACATTAGTTACAGTCATTTGCCTGATCAGTTTCCGTGTTCCAGTGCAACGCTTCAATCACCTGCCGGCTGTTTCCAGTTGAGAAGCACATCTGATACTGTTCATTCACAACATACTGTTCGAACAATCCTAATTCATCTCCGGGACGCACAATAGACCGCTCTTTGGAAGCTCCTGGTTACTCCAGCCCAGTCGTGCCGATTCCCGCCAGCGTTCAGCATAGTCGTCCTGGACCTGTGGCTGGATATGAATCAGGAGTCTTCCACCTTGCCTCTACAAGCAAGTACAATCAATATATTGACTATTCACTGCCTGATGCCGATCAAATTTTCAGCAATTCTGACTATGTTAGTCATTGTGATGATGCCTCTGTAACTCCCAATCCTGGCAAGCCGGAACGCGCCGTAGAAAGCCCCATGGAAGCCCCCAATCCCTCCGTCTCAGTACTGCCATCAGCAGCCTTCGTTCATCATAGTCGTTCCGGACCTGCTGTCGGATGTGGAGAGGGGGTCTTCCAACCCACTCACTATGGTGAGTATCCAATGAGGCTTGATGATGGTCAGTTATTGCCTGATGTATCTGTGATTTCCAGGGAGAGCAGTCGTTCGATTCCTTGCCGCAAGCAGGACGTCGTGATCTTCTACCAAAACGCCGGTGGAATGAGTTCTGATGTTGAAGACTACCGCCTAGCTGTATCGGATCGTTGCTACGATATTATTGTCCGATTATCGAACGCTTTCCAGTCAAGTCTTCGGTCCTGACTACGAGGTCTTTCGTTGCGATCGGAATCGTAACAACAGCCGTAAATCTACTGGTGGAGGTGTCCTTGTAGCTGTCCGTAGCGGGTTGGAGGCAAAGGCCATCGAAAACGATTCATGGAACTATGTGGAGCAGGTTTGGACAGCCATCAATCTGGGTGATCGCACACTATTTCTATGCGCTCTGTACATTCCACCTGATCGAGTCCGCAACAATGAACTCATCGATACTCACTGTCGGTCAGTTTTCACAGTTGTCGAAAGTGCCACTCCAGTTGATGAGATATTCATTTTTGGTGACTTCAATCTGCCAGGCGTTTCGTGGAGTCCATCTCATAGCGGATTCCTGTACCCAGATCCTGATAGCTCTACATTTCACGCAGGAGCTATTAGCCTTCTCGACAACTACAGCGCAGTGACGCTTTCTCAAATTAATCATGTAGTTAACGAAAATGGTCGTAGTTTGGACCTCTGCTTCGTGAGCACACAGGACATGGCTCCATCAATTTCCTCGGCTCCTTGTGCACTAACTAAGCTAGTTTCACATTTCGACGACTATCCTGCTACGGTTTCTTATGACTTCCGTAAAGCTGACCACCGTACCATCATAGATGTATTGTCTAGCATGTCTTGATCCGGATGACGTTGAGGCTGCAGCGCAAACATTTTCACATGTCTTGGCATATGTCATTGACAGACACGTCCCGAAAAGGACTCACCAAAAAGTGTCTCACCCTCCCTGGCAGACGAGAGAGCTACGTATGTTGAAGTCAATCAAGAGAGCAGCATTGAGAAGATTTACGAAGTATCGCACGTTTCCTCTGAAACTACATTATGTGAGGCTGAATCAAATGTACCAGCAAGTCAGTCGTGAATGATTTTCTAGTTTCCAACGAGGCATCCAGCGCAAACTTAAACTACACCCGAAATCCTTTTGGAACTATGTGAACGAGCAGCGCAAGGAATCTGGCCTCCCATCGTCTATGGAATTCAACGGAGAAGTTGATGCCACTGTTCAGGATATATGCCACCTTTTTTGCGAAAAGTTTGCCAGTGTATTCACTAATGAGATACTAACTGACGACCATATTAACCTGGCTGCCAGGAACGTTCCAGTAAACGATCAAACGCTGGGTGCAATTGATGTTAATGCAGAAATGATTTCTAAGGCCGCCACTCTGCTCAAGTCATCCTTCAATCCTGGACCTGATGGAGTTCCATCTGTATTTTTGAAGAGGCATATTGCTAGCTTGTTAATTCCGCTTCTTCGCCTGGTTCGAATGTCTCTCTCAGGTGGCATATTTCCATCTTGCTGGAAATTTGCGCACTTGTTTCCCGTCCACAAAAAAGGAAGGAAACGAGCTGTGGATAACTATCGAGGAATTGCATCGTTAAGTGCCGTTTCGAAGCTATTCGAGCTAGTGATTATGGAACCGTTGCTGTCCCATTGCAAGCAGTATTTGAGTGCTGATCAACATGGGTTTACTGTCGGCCGCTCTACAACCACCAATCTGCTGTGTCTCACATCGTATATAACCGAAAGCATGTCGGATCGCAGCATTCGACAAGTTGAACTCGCCAGGCTCGGTGTATGCGGTAATCTTCTGAGATGGTTTCGATCATATCTTACCGGTCGGCAACTAAAGATTGCCATAGGAGATTGCAGATCAGCTAGCTTCTTCGCCACATCAGGTATACCTCAGGGAAGCCACATGGGACCGTTAATTATTATACTGTACTTCAACGACGTGCATCTGGTCATCGAAGCTCCTCGGTTATCATATGCAGATGACCTTAAAATCTTCCTACGAATCTGCTCCATTGCTGACTGTCACTTTCTTCAACGTCAACTGAATGTATTCGCTAGTTGGTGCAGGTTAAACAGAATGGTAGTGAACCCAGCCAAATGCTCCGCTATTACGTTCTCACGAAAACAACAACCGATCATATTTAGCTATGACCTACTTGGCTCGACAATCGAACGCGTGAATCAGGTGAAAAACTTGGATGTGATCTTGGATTCGCAGCTTTCATTCAAGCAACACATTGCATATGTTGTTGATAAGGCGTCAAGAACTTTAGGGTTCATTTTTAGGATAGCTAAAAACTTCACTGATATCTACTATCTAAAATCTCTCTATTGTTCGCTTGTTCGATCGACGCTTGAGCGGGTTCAGCGGTTTGGAACCCAAACTACAACAACGGTGCCGAGAGAATTGAATCTGTTCAACGTCGCTTTCTTCGTTTTGCGTTGCGTAGATTGCCTTGGAATGATCCGTTTCGATTACCCAGTTACGAAAGCCGTTGTCAACTTTGTCGACCTAGAACTTCTCCGGACTAGAAGAGACACAAGCAGAGCCCTAACCGTGGCCGATATTCTGCAAGGAAGGACAGATTGCGAGGCTATCCTGAGGCAAATTGACCTGAATGTTCAACCCCGACCGCTGCGTAAAGGGTGTCCACGATGAAATTGCCACACTATGAAATTGCTCTAACTTTTTAACCGTTGGGTAGAATTTAATGAAAATTTGGGTGGATTTAGTTCATAGTGCATTATTTACATCCTGCAAGTTTTAAAGTCCTGTGATCAAAACTCGCGGAAATGGAGTCGAAAGAACAGCTCGTGCGTGATAAAATCTTGCGCATTCATCACGAGAACAAAGATCTCTCGCATCGTTCCATCGCTAAAACGTTGGGAATCGCGAATTCCACGGTGTCGCGAGTGATTAAGCGGTTCGAGGAACGGTTGACCACCAATCGGAAGCCCAGAAGTGAAAGAAAAAGTATTCCGTACAACACCAAAAATCACAACCGCGTAGTTGGGGCCT